AGAAAACAAAGGTCAATACAAATGATTAGTAATATCTTCAGTAGATCTCCAGTTAATACAGTTCAACAGAGAGGTGTTGAGAAATCAAATCTCATTAAAATCCATACGAAACCACAATTTATACAGTTTGACACCAATTTAAATTCAAACTCAAATGACTTGTCTGCTAGACTGTGGAATACCAGGTCAGCAAGAAATAAATCACTTGAAATTGCAGACACACTTATTGATGATAACATAGATCTATTATTTATCACAGAAACATGGCTAAGGGAAAAGGGGGACGAAGCTGTCATCTCGGAGATGACCCCCTCCTGGATACACGATCAAACAGGTCCCACGTCAAACCGGTAAAATCGGAGGAGGTATTGCCATCATTTACAGTAAAGATGTACATCTTCAATTTTTTAACTTCAATACAACATATCAATCCTTCGAGCATCTAGAACTTCTAATCACAGAGGAATCAAAATCTGTGCGGTGTGTGTGTTGTTACAGACCACCCCCTTCCAGGACAAATGGATTATCAGAATCACTATTTTTAGAGGAATTTGCAGCATTTTGCTTATCGATTAATCTAAAAAATGGACAACTGGTCCTTCTTGGTGACCTTAATATACACTTCGATGATGTTACAAAGCCTTTTGTGAAGAAAGTCTCTAGTCTTTTACAGTTTCATGGTTTTAAGCAGGGTGTATCTGATCCAACTCAAAAGTCGGGCCACACCTTAGACTGCATTATAACAAGAACCACCGAAACTGCGGTTCATGACATTTCAGTGGAAGACAAACAAGTTTCTGATCATTTCTATGTGAACTTTAAAATAGATTTTAAGAAACCATTACCATCTAAATCAATGGTGAAATGTCGCCAATTTAGAAAAATTATATTATCTGACTTACAAGACGACCTTGAGTCATCAAAACTCTGTTCTAATCCTCCTGAAGATACCGAGCAGTTGGTTCAACTACTTAATACAACGCTCGAAGATTTGTTGAATAAACATGCACCACAAAGTGTCAAACTCCTTAGAAAGAAGCCTAATTCACCCTGGTATTGCGACAAACTTCGTGATGCAAAGACCCGCAGGCGATCAGCAGAACGTAAGTGGAGAAAGTCAGGATATTTAGAAGTTTATCGACAAATTTATGTGAGTGAACGCAACAATGTGAATAATCTTCTTCGAAATTCCAGAAAAACATATTACAACAACGAGATAGTATCAAAATCTAAAGATCCAAAAGCTTTGTACACAACCTTATCTACTTTATTGGGAAAATCCTCAGATGTCGTTCTTCCACAAATAAAGGATATTGACGATGCTGGTCTAGCTAACGAATTCAGCGAATTCTTCTCAAATAAGATTTTCAAAATAAGAAATGACATCGGTACCACCACAACTTCGAAAGGAACTGGGCAGGATAAATATTTCTCAGGTAGAAAATTGGATCATTTCAAACCATTCTCACAGGCCGAGATGCTTAAACTCTTGATGGAGTCTAAACCAACCTGGTGCTTGCTGGATCCTTTTCCCACAAAGATTATGTTGCAATGTGCTGATATCCTTCTTTCTGCAATAACTAAAGTTATCAATTCTAGCCTCCAATCTGGTATTGTTCCGGACTCCTTTAAAGTTGCCGTCATAAAACCCTTGATAAAGAAGCCATCACTTGATAAAAAGATTTTTAAAAACTATCGGCCCGTTTCAAATTTGCCATTCCTTTCGAAGGTACTTGAAAAAGCAGTTAAGAAGAGACTGTTGGAACATCTGCTTGAAAATGATCTGCTACATAAATTCCAGTCCGCTTACCGCCGATCACATGGAACTGAAACTGCGTTAAATCGAGTTTTAAACGATCTAAATCTGATGGTGGATGATGGCAATCTTGGATTGTTGGTTCTTCTGGACCTGTCAGTCGCGTTTGACACTATCGACCACAAAATTCTCTTAGACCGCCTCCGAACATCTTTTGGATTGGATGGTAGTGTGTTATTGTGGTTCGTCTCGTACCTTACAGGTCGCAGACAATTTATATCAGTTCGTGATTCTTTCTCAAAGGAGGTATTGTTATCATGTGGTGTTCCCCAGGGAAGCGTGCTTGGTCCAATTCTGTTCACATTGTACACGTCAGAGTTAGGGGGTCTTATCAACACACACGCTGATGTAAACCACCACCTTTATGCAGATGACACACAACTGATGGAAAAGTTAGACCTGTTAGCTCAGCAGCGTCATATTTCCAATATGGAATATTGTATCCAAGACATCAAAGCATGGATGACACAAAATATCCTGAAATTAAATGGTGACAAGACTGAAGCGATAGTCATTGGACCACAGACTCGTGTGAACAAACTTAATTTTAGTCATATAGTTGTCGACGAATCCGAGATTAATCTTTCTCCGTCAGCCAGAAATTTAGGTGTCCTCATAGATTCCAACTTAAGTATGAACAGTCATATCAATGATCTTACCAGGAAATGTTACTTTCACCTAAAAAATATCAGTCGGATTAGAGATTATCTAACACCCGAAGCAACAAGTACACTTGTTCGCTCCTTAATCCTGTCCCGTTTAGACTATTTCAATAGCCTTCTTGGTGGTGTGTCAAAAGAGTCCATCAAGAAGTTACAAAAGATACAAAACACTGCCGCTCGGATAGTATCTCGTGCCCCACAAACATCTCATGTATCACCAATATTAAATTCTTTACACTGGCTGCGAATACAGGAAAGGATTGATTTCAAGATTCTATCTCTAACCTATCAATGTGTTAATAACCTAGCGCCATCTTATTTAACTGAACTAATTCAAAGTAACAAGCCCTCCCGGAGTTTACGCTCGTGCGACCAAATACAGTTGGTTACCCCAAGGTGAAAAATGAAAACATTTGGGGCAAGAGCTTTTAGTTTTCTTGCTCCATCAAAATGGAACGATCTTCCAGTGTTCATCAAAAGTGCTCCTTCTATTGACTGTTTCAAATCCAGACATAAAACATACCTATTTCAACGTTATATTTAATTTAAAATTGTGTGTAAAGAGCGCATAGAGCATACTTTAAGTGTGGAATTGACGCTATACAAATGTTCATATTATTATCTGTGTAAATTCACGGTTGATTGCATCCATTGAGAGTTAGAAGACTTGACTTGTCGAGTGTATGTCCACTTTGTCGTGACAACCATTCACACGGTGTTAGTCGCGCGTGCCATATCGATTGCTACGCGGTGTATTCCATCAAGAAGCCTCTGTGTGGGTAAGTCATCGGTTCGCTAGCATGGAGGTCGTGTGTTTGATCCCTGCATTGGCTGAGAAGGTTCCTCGGGATTCTTTCCGACGTGGTTCTCCCCTAGTCATTGGTACAGGAAGGGGGTGCTGCCAAGGACAGCTGTCTATTTTGGATGTGTCGAAATACCGAGGCCGTCCGTGTATAGAGCGCGTGCGTAAAAGTTATCTTGACGGTTAGAATTCATTATAAACGTAAGTCATAGTAAGCCAAAATTACCCTCCAAGCCCCACATGTACGACTCATGCACCGATCTTCATTAAACTCCCCAAATATAGATGAATAACAGTAGGACGCTAAATCCCATTTCATTTGAAAAGCATAAGTCGTTTGCAATTAGGGAGGTGTGTGTGTGTGTGGGGGGGGGGGGGGTCGTCACTATACCTCGATCATTACCGTGTATCGGTTTGACGTATTTAACACGGTTCAATTCGCTGTCCAGGTACAATACAATACTTTTTAATATTTATATTACTTTATTTTAAATTTTAACTGATATGTATTTGTTTTGTCCTTTTTTGAGCCTTATTAGCGTACCTCGAATACATTCTAGTACGCTTACGAATGATGGAAGGGACTTGAGACACATATAAAAAAACTAATCACCTTACTTTTAATTGTAAAAAAATAATAATAATAAAAAACAAATTTTGGAAAAAATAATCTTGTTTCATAATATAAATCTAACTGAATGAAAGGGTTGGTGTTTTGTGGGGTAGAAGGGGGGAGGGGGGCACGAATAAAACAAAACATCTTGACAACGTGTACAATTCTAACGATTTCGTGAATTTGGGACCATTTCCATATTTAAATACAGAGTAAACACTGGTTAAACAAACCGTCACTTTTTTTTAAATACCCCACCCTACAGAGGGCCGTATAATATAGACGACACGGGGATTCATCCACAAAACTCAAACAAAATCAATAATTCAACATTAAACAATAAATGATTACTAAACAGAACGTGTTTAACCTCAGAATCAACACCTGCCCTCTATAACAAAAGCCTATTCATCTATTGTTTCATCAACCATTGTTCGGAGAACAATAAAGTAATCAATCGATAACCATTGTTCAGAGAACAATACACTAATAATAGAATGTGACGTCATAGACACGCCCCTTTCAGGCCGCCCAAATAAACACCCTACTCTACTATAGTTAAAACTACTTACCGACTTTAGTAATGATGATCGAGGCTAGGCCTAAAATTCAATCGCTAATATCTTGGAACATAGTGTATCAATTTGACTGAAATTTTTTGCATATTCCCTTTTACATTGTCTAATTATTAACTAATATAGTGAGAAGTGCTAGTTCTTTATCTAATCTCCCATACTGCCCCTTTAACTCTGCGTTATCTAAACCTTTCAATAACGTCGTGACTCTACTAGCAACATCACATCGTACAACCTTGACAGGAGACTCATTCTGTTACTGTTGATGGACTTCCGTTTCGTTGTCTGGCAACCCATATTTCTCCTAATCTCATCAATTCTGTATTTGTAGCCACGAAAAACAAAAGAAATGGAAAGTAGACTTTCCTTAAAACCACCAAGTCTACCAAGACTCGATCTAGATGGTTCAAGAGAAACATGGGAACAATTTGAGCAGGAATTCGACCAGTATCTGGTGGATAGTGGACTAGAGTCTATGGACGATACTATCAAGTTCCCATTGTTACGTCAATGTATTGGAAAAGAGAATATGCATATTTATGATTCGTTTTATTTTGAGAAAGAAGATGATCGGTATATATTATATGAATTAAAGAAAAAAATCAGTACTTATTGTAAACGTCGAATAGGAGATGGTGTGAAGAAAATGTAATTTAGCAAATTGTTGAAATAAAATTATACCATATGATAGTCCCGAAAGACATAACTTATTGATCTGCCTGTATTAGATCAATAATACAGGTAAATCAATAGTACAGATAGATCAATAATCCAGATAGATCAATAATACAGATAAATCAATAGGACAGGTAGATCAATAGGACAGATAGATCAATATTACAGGTAGATCAATAATACAGATAAATCAATAGGACAGGTAGATCAATAGGACAGATAGATCAATATTACAGGTAGATCAATAATACAGATAAATCAATAGGACAGGTAGATCAATAGGACAGATAGGTCAATATTACAGGTAGATCAATAATACAGGTAGATCAATAGTAGGTGTAGATTAATAATACAGGTAGATTAATATTACGGGTAGATAAATAATACGAGTAGACCAATAATACAGGTAAATTGATCAATACAGGTAGATCAATAATACAGATAGATCAATAATACGGTTAGATCAATAATTCAGGTAAATCAATAATACAGGTAAATCAATAGTATGGGTAGATCTATAGTACAGGTAAATCATTACATTATAATACGGTAAAAATTATGACCTCTATAGGGTCCACTAGCTAAAAACGTGATTTTTCGTACAATCAGGGGCCATAATTCAGGAAGTTACGGTCCGATATGCACGAATATCGAAAGGAACCGAGATCTTTGGGTTATAAACTTACATTTCAAGTTTCAACAAAATCGGATAAAAATTGTGACCCCTATAGGGTCCACAACCTTGATATACCATATTCAAATTACGCCATTTGGGAACGAACGGCGGCCATTTTGTCTGTCAATTTTGGGCCAATTTTCACGAAATTCGAACTCAGTCATCCTTAGGGTGTAACGGTGATATAATAGAACGGTTTTTTAAATCGGATAAAAGTTATGACTTCTATAGGGTCCACAAGCTAAAAACGTGATTTTTCGTACAATCAGGGGCCATAATTCAGGAAGTTACTGTCCGATATGCGCGAATATCGAAAGGAACTGAGATCTTTGGGTTATAAACTTACATTCCAAGTTTCAACAAAATCGGATCAAAATTGTGACCTCTATAGGGTCCACAAGCTAAAAACGTGATTTTTCGTACAAACAGGGGCCATAATCCATGAGATTTCGATCCGATACATGCCAATATCAAAAGCAGTCGAGATCTTTTGGGGGTACACCTATATTTCAAGTTTCGTCGAAATCGGATAAGAATTGTGACCTGTAGAGAGTCCACAAACAATTGTGGACGGACGGACGGACAGGGGCGACGGCATAATACGTCCACATGAAAATGTGGGCGTATAAAAATGTGGCAGATTGTAAGCAGAGGGGGGAAATAGTTGTGTTGACGTTGTGTATTCATTCATTCGTCTGCTAATGCCAGACTACGGCAAGTTCAGTCATGTGAAAGTGACCGTTTAACTTGCCGTCAGAAGGTAAATATACCGATAATCGATATTTGAATTTGATTATATCGATATTTTTGCACAGCCTTATTCGTCAGCTATATAGTACGCTGATATATCTTCCATGTAAATTTGTTAGTTTATGTCCAACTAAAATATTATGCTGATTTAATGTTTAGATATTTCAAATATATTTTGTTTTAAAATAGTAATGTATAAACTAGATACTCGTATTAGGTATAATCGATACAATAATTATACCATTGTACGAAGTATTAATGATCGTTCACATTCGATAAAATAACCTTTCGTGTTCATATCGAATGTGAGGAACAAATAACTTACGAGTTCACGTTCAGATCTCTAGTAATATAGTTACGTCATAACCATCATTAATAATTAGAAATCATCTCAAACTTTTTAATTATCACGCATCAGCGTTCTAGAATTATTATTTGCATAATTAGTTATACTGACACATGATGTCATATTTATTATTATTATTATTATTATTATTATTACAGCATGTTTATAGTGCACCATTTCATATAACATGTTCAGAGGCACTTTACAAAGTGAAAATGTAAATCACACATAAACAACAAGATTATGGGCATGTTAACGATTGTATACAGAGTCAGTTAAAAGCCTGATTAAATAAATGTGTTTTAAGTTGTTTTTTAAAAGAATATAGAGATGTACAACATCTTAAACTAAATGGTAGATTATTCCATAAAACAGGTGCTTGATAACTAAAAAAGCGCTGACCATAGGAGACTAGTTGAACAGTTTTGGGCTTTAAAAGTAGTTTATCTGACGTACGTAATGTTCGGCCAGGTGTATAAAGTTCTAAAAGATCTGAGAGGTAAACAGGAGCTAAATTATTTAAACATTTAAAAGTAAGTAATAAAATCTTAAAATCAAATCGATATTTAACAGGTAACCAGTGTAAATTATATAAAACAGGAGTTATGTGGTCACATTTCTTAGTTAAAGTAACAAGTCTAGCCGCAGTATTCTGTACTTTTTGTAATTTATCTATAAGCTTTAAAGGTAAACCAACTAAAAGTGAATTAAAGTTATCTAATCGAGAAGTGACCAGAGAATTAACAAGTGACTTAGTGGCCTCTACAGTTACACATTTACGTATTTTACCTATATTTCTAATATTAAAATAGCACAATTTACAAATATTATTTACTTGAGCTCCCATAAGCATAAAACTATCAAAGATAGCGCCAATATTACGAGCAGAATAAGATGAACATATATCACAATTACCAATTACAACAGGGGGGTTATCTTGTGCAGATTTACTTAATTGATGCCTTGAGCCTAATAACAAATATTCGGTTTTATCATCATTCAATTTTAGAAAGTTCTTTGACATCCATTTTCTAATTTCACTAATACAGTTCTCAAGTTGCAATTTTGATATTATTGCATATTTATATTATTGCATATTTTCATAACTGCATAATAACTATATATTGTACTTGATCATCATTATCTCTTGAAGACATTAAAGACATTATGTATTAACAACCTCTTCTTATTATTAGGTAACATTGTGAGAACTAGTGACAAATAACCCAAGGGTTGCGTCACATTCCCAAGACAGAATAAGGGCACGTTCTCAATAGCAAGAACTGTCGGCTCCGTTTCTAAATCTTTGTCTATTTTTGAACTATTATAGCGAGAACTGTCAGCTCTATATCTTAACCATGCATAGTTCATCTTCACGGCCGTTTATTTCAACATTGAGAGGGATTCTGAGATTCAAGGAAATTTGTCTGTTCACTTTCTTTCGCATCTTCTTTATGAATCTGATCGATAGTTTTAGGATTATTATCTTCTCTTCTTGGCACCCAGTTACACTACAATATAAATATATTGTTCATCAATGAACATGAAATAATTTAATATATAAACGTGAAATAATTTAATATATAAACATGAAATAATTTAATATATAAACATGAAATAATTTAATATATAAACATGAAATAATTTACTATATAAACATGAAATAATTTAATATATAAACATTGTCTTTAAGCAAGTTATAACTATAGAAATAGTTAAATCACAAAAAACGCACCGATCGTAAATCTATAACATCTTGTAGCATAAATCGTACTCTTGAAGATGTTTTCTTTTCTGTAACGATTTCCTGTATTTCTTGGAAGTACTGATCTATTTCAGACTGAAAGATAAAGAATATAGTGAAGATAAAAACAAACAAAATGTCGTCCACAGGCCGACTTATGTCAAGCCAACAGTAAAGTGTGTCTGAGAATAGTAACCCCTTGTTTCTGGAGGAAATCTACCTGCATGATGGCCGAAATCATTTATCCCCCTGCCAGCATGAAATTCAAATATGGTTAAGATAGTTTTGTCTCAATTTTTATAACTCATCAACATCAAGTGTATTAAGTCTTACCTTGGTCGTTACTGTATCCAATTCTTTTCCTATTATGGTTAATAATATGCTTAAACATTCTAAATTTATCTCATCTTTCGACTGTAATAATTTAGATACACAATCACGAACAGCTGTCTTTGTGAACATTGTTAATTGAAATAATTCTCCGAGAAATCTGTAAATAAAAGATATCAATGAGGAGGAATACATCTGTCATCATTAAATATAAGACAGGGATAACTTTAGTCATCATTTTACCTGAATTCCATCCATAAAAGAGTTACATTACAAAAAGCGAAGTCTTTTGGTCATGTTTTTTTAATTTAAAAATTACTTTTTTTGATTGTAATGATAATACATCGAGTCCTAACAAGAAATGAGATGTAATAGTGATTAATGGCAAGTCAGCACCAAGCAGGTTATAACTGTGACAATTTGTACAACAAAGCTAGACTACTTACCTGATGTTTGCTATAGATCTTCTCCTGGCTGTTGTTACAGCAATCTCCATTTCTTCCTGTAATTGTTTCTTCACATCTTCCTGGAAATCAGAAACAAACAAACCATGGTAAATTTACAGGAATCAGGTCCTGAACGACTATATGAGGGAAACAGTCGAAGAATCTAATTTAAGAGCTTCATGAGAAAATCTAGGATGGCTACCAACAAGTTATGTCTAGGTTTTCCACATGGAGGGGCACCTTGATAACTAAGGCGCTGGTACACTAATTGTGAAGCTCCAAGTTTCAGCCTGGTGTTGGCTTAGGAAGTTCTACGGATGCAGTGATGCAGTACAAGGGGCCTGGCAATGAACAGCGTCTAGTTAGTTGGATGGTACGAAAAAAAACTTGGTTTACAAAACAACCACTGGTAGTTGGCAATCTGATTAAAACATAGATTCTATTTCGTTTCGTTTTTTACAGTTCAAAATTTCGTTTTACTTGTCTTTACTACACTAGGATCTGGAAGAGTTATTATATAACGCCTGTTATACTTGAAGGGTTGGATTAGCCAATAGAACGAGCTTTACGCGTGTGGTGCACAGAACTGTGGGTAACACACTAATGTTGACTGGTTAATCAAATGTCTGACGTCATAGGGTAAAAATCCGCTCGTATAGCCTCCGACGCCAGTTATCGCTACAACCGGTCTGATCTGCATGTACTGTAGGCCATGGAAAGTATAAAAAAAGAAACAAACTATAGATGTGTATTTTAATCAGTCTAACTGTTTGGCATATACCCGTCTTTACTGAATTTCATAAGTGAACGATAGTTTAAAGGAGCTAAATCGCTCAAATTTGGGACCTAGAAATTGACTCAAGTGGGTCGCAACGCATATAATACTGTAATATGAATGTATATAAACTGATTTACATTTTATGGTTTCCGTTTTTACTCTAATTTCAAATCAGTTCTGTTCCGCCAAATAAGCCAACAGTCTCAATCAAATGCAAATTTCTACCATCTGGCTATTCCAGTCTACATACGCCGTTTGATTTGGTGCAATGTTTCTAGCCTCGCTCCCCGAGTCTCTTGCTAGAACTGGGGCTGAAACGCATTATGGTACACGATTCGTGTACCAATGGTAAAATGTTTATTTTGTCTTAAATATTGGATATCAGAAGCCCATCCTTTTCCGGTAAGATCACAGCATCAATGTTGATTTAAATTGACAAATAATTCGTGTTTTCAAAGTTGAAGACTTTGATGATATTGATTTAGAGACTTAGCTACTTTAAAGTAGACTTCAGTCCACACTATACTCACTGAGTCGCCTTCATCTATTTTCTTCTGTCCAGTTTCTAAATCTAAATCTTTATCTTTCTCAAATTCTCTCTGACATTTAGTTAATAAAATAACCCGGCAATCTATTTTCTCACCTGGTTTGCTATCTGACGGAACCTTTACCTGTAAATGAATTAAAATGAAATGGGGTATAACGTCCTACTGTTCTGCTCCGCACTGGGCTAATGAAGACGGGCATACGCCATACAGTGTGCTATGAGGGAAATTTTGCCCGAACAGCGGGTATACGGCCTACTCTTATATCGAATTCCAACTGTCAAGGGATCTTTTACGTGCACGCCAATGTGTACACGGGACCTCGTTTTTTCGTCCCATATTTTACCCGTCTTCCGAGTTGATTTCAACCACATAACGTTCAATGTATTTAAATATGTAACAAAGAAATTAAAATAATTTTCGATGAAGTACTAGTTAACAACACTTCAAGTTGCTTGTTATTTCTACAGACTTGACATGACCTTTCAGAAAGATCATCACAAATTATACTACCACCATGCCACAACTATAGCCTTTCACATTGAGCGTTAAATTCAAATTACCGACATATAGGGCATTAGATCTACGGAAACAAGGCTTTAATGGTGGATACTCATAAGGCCTGTCATTGAGTCAACTAGCGTGGTTTCGAATCCCCGTTGTACGTGGCAAGGAGTAGGGCCACCTGTAAAACCGTGTGGGTTTTCTCCGGGTCCTCCGGTTCCCTCCCACTGCTAAAGACCCCTACTCGCAAGCGAATTATTAAAATAAAATTAAAAACCATATGTTAGTCCCCAAATGACCTCGTTTGTGTCAGTGGAGGTTAAACCCCATTTCTTTCTCTCTCTCTCTCCCTCTTAAACGCATCTCTCTCTCGATTGGTAGACGTCGAATACAAATACAAAATTATAGCTAGAAATAAATCAGTCTGCTGCAAGTCGATCTAATAGTTTGCAGGGGGTTTTATTTGGTCAACTACCAGCGCAAACCTCTGACATAAATTAGATTCGCATCCCTGAGCCCCCACCCTCGCACACACGCGTTATCGTCCATTCGTCCCGTTCATGGCAAAAGCGTTTTATAGCTGAGGCGCTCAAGGCGCCAGTCTACCTCGCGAAAAAAATCAAAGAAGTTGAAAAAATAAAACAGGAGAAAAATGCTAAAATCGATGAGAAAAATGAAAATGTACCCTAGTTAGGGAGGGCCCTAAAGGCAGACAAAAGGGGCCCACGTCTGACAAAAGGGTCCCTCTAGCCAAGGAAAAGCCCCCCCCCCGGGTGAATGAGGGCCCTCAAAATTGTATAGCCTCAACCATGATAAACCTTAAAACGCCCCTGATTCATGGTCCTCTCGTTTATAACAGATCCAACATTAAATATTTAAAGTTTTAACTGTTTTCTTCCATATTAGCAAGATGAAGATGAGATGTTTATTAGAGGAGAAAGTTTTTGATTTGATGTACGTACGTGCTGCATAAGATCTCTACACAAGTTAGCATAGGCTACACTGAACGCTGGTTCACTCACAGCCTATAAAATATAAATAAAGTAAGTAAGTAAGTAAATTTATTGCATAAAAACGCCCACGAGGAGCAGCATACAATTACAAAAAATTACATTCATACAAAACAACAATTATACATATAATAAACGAACGTATAAGACAGGGATAACTTTACTTATCATTTTGCCGTAATTCCATTTGACTTATAAATCATTTTAACACCTATAAATCACATTCCTCGTCATCACCAATTTATCAAACTGGACACCCAGGAATATAAATAGTCAATGTCTCAAAATAAGTGCAGTCAGTCTCAGAATAATGCATTGATGACTAAATGAATTAATGAGGTAAATAAACAACGTCAAAATAGAAGGGAAAAACCCAAATAATTAAGATAAGAATGGATGTGATTGCTTTGATTGTATATCACAATACATGCTAGGTTTTCAAAGCTCAAATTAGTAAAAACGGTTATCATGCGTTCGGTAATGACACGAGAACTCCTTAATGAACTATTGACTCTTGCGTGTGACCATGACCTGATGGACACGATCGATCGTGACAAAATCGTCGATCGGTAGTCAAACTTGAAAAACCGCGTACGCTTAATGAAAATATGAGGACATAGTCATATCTTTGCTAATTTATGTATATTCACAACGAAGATATAGGTCCGTGTAAATGATGTAATTATTGTCACTTTCATAAGTTGTCACAGATTCACAGTAGTTTGTACATTCTTGTATAAATAACATGAATTCCCATGTGTAGTGCTAAATTTTAGTCATGTTATAAGTGTTTTCTGACCATCAGGTTTCCGTTAAATTCAGGGACTCGAGATATAAACATTTCTCAGGGGATGCCTGACGCCGAACCCATCAAATCATGACAAAACGTGCTCAAAGGAAGGCCTTAGAACGATCCACTGTGGCTGGAGCAAGACGGAAGATGTCAGTAGTGGAACCATTTGTAATGGTTTTTTCCATGAGCAGAATGATATGTATAGTCACCTTTCCTAATATAGTTTACAGACAGGGTTGTTACATGTCAGCTCTTGGACAAGAGAGCGAGAGAGAGATGGGGTTTAGCGTCCACTCGACACAAACTAGGTCATTTCGGGACTAACATATGGTTTTATTTTATTTCAATAATTCGCTTGCGGGTAGGGGTCTTTAGAACACCATCTCCCTTCTCTTCAAAATTAGGAGAGAGAGAGAGAGAGAGAGAGAGAGAGAGAGATGGGGTTTAGCGTCCACTCGACACAAACTAGGTCATTTCGGGACTAACATATGGTTTAATTTTATTTCAATAATTCGCTTGCGCGTAGGCGTCTTTAGCAGTGGGAGGAAACCTGAGTGCCCGGAGGAAACCCAAGAGGTTGAGAAGGCGCCCCTATCTCCATGCCACATACGCTCACACCAGGGACATTGGACAAGAACATTCTATGGCGGAGACCGGGTTTCTGTCATATCGAATTTCATGGAATAGAAAATGAAAATCTGTAGCAAACAACCTTGTAAAGGTTTTAAATATTCTTGTTTGGTCCATGGCTGACCATTTTATTCGATAGTTCCTCCGTCCTACCTTGTAACTACTTTTGTCGCAATGCAAACTCCTCCACCCACTGAATAAAAATTTCTAGTAAAATTCTCACCTTTTCAAATATTAAATCTGTGACACCTTTTAATCTTGTTTCTGTGTCGATATTTAATTCTTGAACTTCTTTTGATAAAGTTTTGAAATTCCCCGGAGTTAATTCATTCAAAATACCGTTAACGTGTTTGTAGATTTCCTGAAATGAAAACAAAATGCAAGATTAGACAAACTCCATGTTATGGCAAGATTATGGATTCTATGGGAGCCCCGTCAACATGGCACAATAAATAAAACTAAATCATTATTGGAATATCAGTAACGAGGAATTCGTCTGTCATAATTAGATATAAAACAGGGATAACTGTATTCATCATTTTCTCCTTTTTTTCGAACCAAATTTTTTTTATATTGTTGCTTTTCTCTTTCATTTGACACCCCCCCCCCCACCCAAACAGACGAAATCTCGATTAAATAAACATCAAATTATTACCTTGGTAGTTTTCGTGTTTGACAGATCCATGTTACAGACAGGTTTAGAAGTGACAGTATTCAACTCATAACCAAAATGATGAATATTCTGTTGTGGACCTCCTCTATTTGGGGCTGCAAATAAATATAGTAATCAACTCTCTAGAGCGAAATTTTGACCGGCACACTTAAGAAAATACGAAAACCCACGTAATCCCAATTGTCCATTCACTGGTGTCTACTGGTAAATGGCCGTGCTTTTCTTTATTTAATTTGAGTCATTCTATGTATCTATGACTAGTCTGTGTCTACGCATACAACTATTCTAGTTCTATTGTCCACGGTTGTATGTTGTCTATGAGTTGCCATGTTTTTATTTTGCAAATTCAACTATTTTTCATATATATTATGTCATGTGTGCCGCTATTTTTTCATGTGTTACAAGGTGTGCCACTGGCCAATAAAGGTTGAGAACCACTGCTCTAGAGGATCAGATACAAGTGGATCAGAATACCCACGAGATTACAAAAAACAACAACATTCTGTGCATCATCTTGCTAAAAGTTTATTGGGCTGCGTATGTGTAACAAATGCTAATAGTATTAAATTAACTTATTTTAAAGGTGGTACATGCATTGATAAAGAAATTGAGTTTGCCACTTGGAACTAAAGGCATCCAATCGTAGCTAAAAAAAAAAGAACATCAGTATCTCTCAACGTTTTTAGTTACGTTCTCGTAGCTAGTGTTACATTAGACCCGTTATTTTTGTGAAAATGTTCTTTGTGAATAAATCAATCATTAACTATTAATTCAAACGGGTTCTCCACAAATGTTGTTGCGCGATGTCGTAAGTATTATTATAGTATTCAAACGTAAACCGCAAGCGTTTTCATTTTACAATTATATTTCTGTGATATATGGTCTCATTCTCTGATGATGTGTCCGAAAAAAGGAAAAAAAATGCCAAGGGATCTTTTATGTGCACGCCAATGTGTACACAGGACCTCGGTTTTTCGTCCCATTCGAACGACTAGACAGCTGTCCTTGTCAGGCCCTCCATCCTGCATCACTGACATGGGGAAACCACGCCGGAAAATCTTGATGAACACCCGACCTCCAGGGTAGCGAGTCAGCGTCTTACCCACTTAGCCACATGATCCCCAGATACAGGATAAATATCATTGCATTAGATGTAAGGTAGGAGTATAATCTCCAACCCCTAATCGCAAATCTAAATCCCTAATTGGAATTTCTCCTATATTGACACAGGGGAATCACTTAATCACAAAAATTTGTACGAAAATGGAATCAGCTACCTCGAAAACATGTTTTGTATGGTGGCCCATGGTCGCAATAGCGTTTTTTGGGTTATTTTTGGTATTTCATTTAAAATAATAAAAATATAAGTACAAAAAAAAAAAAACATTTTTTTTTTTTACAAAATAAAAAAAAATAATCTTCTAAAATTGAAAAAAAAAATCTTTTTAAAAAATTGAAAAAAAAAAAATCTTTTTAAAATTGAAAAAAAAAAATCTTTTTAAAATAATAAAAAAAAAAATCTCTATATAAAAAAAAAATAATAAAATATATTTTAAAAAAAATAAAAAAGAAATAAAATTAAAAAAAAAACTTAAATGAAAAAAAAAAAAATTGAAAAAGAAAAGATAAAAAATAATTCCCGACGTGGCCCATCGTCGCAATAGTGTCTTGAGTATCCAGAACCAGTATACAGCTATCATTAGACTAGAGCGACCAGAAACATTTTGTGGCCCATTGTTGCAGTAGTATCTCGATTATTATGTGTGGGATCTATGAAGAACGTATAAACTCGAACGACAAGAAACGAGTCTGTAGTTATCTCACCTCAACATAATTGTAGATACTTCAATTTTGAATAGCTAAGCACTAAAATAAATCTAATATTATCTATTATCCAATCAAATACTAAAATTTGAATTTTATCTTAGTAAAACAGGCCCCAGACGAAGTCCACGTAGGCTATCATGCTCTATTTTGTCTTTGAAATTGATGTTGTCCGCCATCGCACTTTCGCACCTCTTACCTGTTCCTGTGGTCGTAGCGGGGGACTAGCGATGACCTCAGGGAGAGCAGGGGTTTCACAAAAACAGAAGCTAAAATCACTAACATAGATTTTAAAATCAAAGTGAAATATTAAATTTATGTGTTTCACGAAGATCGATTGTAACTTAAAATTTAATTTGAATAGATTTTAGTTAAAAATACTTGTGCCTTGATGTGAGGTAACTGTAGACTGGTTTTTTGTCGCTCGAGTCTATACCATACGTTCTTCATAGATCCCACACAGGATAATCTGAACGACAGATCCACGATGTTTGACAGGTCACCCTACTCCTTGTCACGTACAACCGGGGATTCGAAATCACGCCAGTTGACTCAATGACGGGCTTTATGATCATTGATATGACAGGCTTTATGATACAGCGCGCACGTGCTAACCATTCGCCCCCCCCCCCCGGCTACTTAGTAGTAGTAGGCCTATACTTCGAGGATTAGTTTCAAAGTTGTTAACTACTTTTGAAATTCGACCTCAGGGAGACCAAGTGTTTTAAAAACATTACATAAGCCTTTAGAGGGAGAATAGGCCTTGCGCACTAGTAGGCCGAATGGTGTCATTAAAGTCAATGAGTTGAATGACTTCAAACGTCATTATGTATGTAGGCCTAGTTCTAGTTAGACTGGATAAACTAGTCTAAATGACGCACGGCTTCTATAGTCTATTAATTATACATTTCTATTGACTTGAATATGTATAAACACATATATCCAAGTCCATAGACGTCATGGGTGGAAAAATTGTGTTTCACGTGTTGATGTCTGTTTACCTTTTTCCTTTCGGAAGGGGAGATAACTACAAACTCGTTTCTTGTCGCTCGAGTTATGCCACATAGGATACTCGAAACACTATAGCAACAATGGGCCACGAGGTATTTCTGGTCACTCGAGTCGAATGATAGCTGTCGTAGGCTGATTTTATACTGAGTCTGGATAATCAAGACACTATTACGACGATGGGCCACGTGCAGAATTCTTTTTTTGATTTTTTCTATTTGACTTATTTTTTTTTTTAATTAAAATGTTATTTTTTTTATAGATTTTTTTAATCTGAAATATTTTATTAATTTTTTTATATAGATTTTTTTTATTTTAAAAAGATTTTTTTTTTTCTTAAATTTTAAAAAGATTTTTTTTTCTTTTTAATTTAAAAAGATTTTTTTTTTCTTAAATTTTAAAAAGATTTATTTTTCTTAACTTTTAAAAAGATTTATTTTTTATTTTGTAAAACAAAAGAAAAAAATTTTTTTCTTTTTTTTTACTTTTATTTTTTATGATTTTAAATGAAATACAAAAAATAACCCCAAAAACGCTATTGCGACCATGGGCCACCATAGTTTTGACAACAAAATTTTCCCGCCAAAACTGACGGCCGTCTTGAATGACCACCCACCCCCCCCAATATTAACTCAGCGGTGTCACTAATCACGAACATGTGTATGGAATTGGATTCAATTACCCCGAAAACGTATATTTTGATACTTTGATAAATTAGTGGAAATTAAAATTTACAAGGCAAAACCAGCAGCCATTATGGATTGTGGCCAATTTGACCCATTTGGACACGGATAAATCGTAGTCGGCATTTCTATACACCAGCCATGTAATAAAATAATACATTAACTTACGCCCTCCATAAAGATATTGTCCACCATAATAGCTCTGTTTATTGGAAATTTGAGGTGCATTCTGTGATAGAAGATAAGTTCAAGCACATTATAACAAAAATTGGAGAATCACGGCTTTAATAATTTTCTTGGGTCCTTGCACAGGCACTTGAAGGGATTAAAATATTTAACCCATTCAAGTGCCTGTGGGTCCTTGTTGACTATCACTATTTTCGGTCTTTCATCTGAAGCCAGATTGAAAATATAATTTGTATGATATAACCATTCGGTTATAGCAATTAAAGATTTGACCACAGCTTTCTGAACTTCCTTTATCTTGCAGTCCGCTGATCGACATTCATCGCTGACTGATCCCCCATCATCCTGTACTCATTTCGATATTCTAACAATATATAGACTATAGATAACCATGGTAACTACTAGAATCAACCTATATACAGATAACCATGGTAACTACTAGAATCAACCTATACATAGATAACCATGGTAACTACTAGAATCAACCTATATATAGATAACCATGGTAACTACTAGAATCAACCTATATATAGATAACCATGGTAACTACTAGAATCAACCTATATATAGATAACCATGGTAACTACTAGAATCAACTTACATATAGATCACCATGGTAACTACTAGAATCAACCTATACATAGATAACCATGGTAACTACTAGAATCAACTTACATATAGATCACCATGGTAACTACTAGAATCAACCTATATATAGATCACCATGGTAACTACTAGAATCAACTTGCATATAAATCACCATGGTAACTACTAGAATCAATCTATACATAGATAACCATGGTAACTACTAGAATCAACTTACATATAGATCACCATGGTAACTACTAGAATCAACCTGTATATAGATCACCATGGTAACTACTAGAATCAACCTATACATAGATAACCATGGTAACTACTAGAATCAACTTACATATAGATCACCATGGTAACTACTAGAATCAACTTACATATAGATCACCATGGTAACTACTAGAATCAACTTATATACAGATAACCATGGTAACTACTACGTTAAACTTGTTCAAGCATTACCTTTAGTGATGTCATAAATGATACAAGACCTATTAGTACAATATTTTTTAATAAATTGATAAAATTTCAACTCTAAACATTCTTGCCTCAAAATCCTGATCTATAAATCATCATCATTTGTAGTATAGAAGCAAAAGCATGTTGAAAGATACTTACCCATTCAGGCCTTGTTTGGAGGACGAAATCTGGGGAAAACTCTAATACAGTATTACCCATTTTAATCCTTTCTGCAGACGACATTATAGCAGGCTAAAATGGAAAAGGCTTCATTATATGTCGGACCATTTTTATCACGTGTAAAGGGATGTGTTATCGATCGCAGTTTACAGATTCACGATCTATCCAATACCTCCATCATCAGACAAATCTACACGACAACCGATATAATAATTTATACAAATAATAAAATAATATATACAATTAATAAAATGATATATACAAATAATAAAATAATATATACAAATAATAAAATAATATATACAAATAATAAAATGATACATACAAATAATAAAATGATATATACAAATAATAAGAATTTCTCCCCGCAATGATCTCAAATGCCAGGATATTGAATTAATTTTTCAAAATTTTCTCAAATTACTCAGTGTTATAGGCACAATCATTAATATGCCATAAACTATACGTGAACTAAAATAACAACTATATAATTATACAATACTATCTATGTTCTACCGGGACGCTTAATGTTATAGCCAGTATTTTGTTTACATTCATTGTGAGGTGGGATTGTGGATGGCGCCCTAAATTTGAAACCGTCCCTACCCCACCCCAATATTCCCTAGAAAACTGGCACGTGGTGCTCGGCTCCTGATTGCTTCACTCGCATTGACGGGGAGGGGGGGGTGGGGGGGAGGGGGGTGGGGGTATTATGTGCATCAGTCGGTCGCATTTTGGCTAAATACCCCCCCCCCCCAAACGAAATCGTTATGTACGCCCCTCCCCCTTCCTTCTGGTCAGGCTTATGTAGCTTATATAGCTTTGGTAAGACTTCACCAACAACCATCATGGTTTCCACAAGGCAGATCAAAAGATAAACCAATGTTTTTAAAACCCGATTTGTAACCGGAACCCACCTTATCTAGAACGATGTCAGGTAAATTTGGTAAGCCTTTTGGTTTAGAAACACAGTTGCTACTAAATTGTAGCAAGAAATTTCTGTCGTAGATTATTCTACCCTCCTGATTTAGAGGACTCCTTTGGTCTGTCAAAAGAAAAACATAACATAACATAAAGTTTCAATTCCTCGAGGTATTCCCACGACGGCGCAGTTACAGACCCTGACCAATATTTATCCTTCCTACGAATGCGCAGATGTCGACTTGTCGGCTTTCGTTTGAAGGGAGACATGTTGTTATTAGGACCCAATTAACCGTGTTAAAGATGTTATGAATTTATGTTCACTCTGATTTTTATTCACACATTGACAACTAATGATAAATATCATCAAATCATCAAATTAGTCTTCATATATTCGCTCATTCTCAATCAGTGCCATTCTCAAAGATGTATAAAGTCCATAGTACTATTTGTTACAGATTTAACGTCCAATACATTATATACTATTCAAAAAAAGTAGGGGATATTTGATTTTTAAGTGTTATTAAAGTCACCTAATGAAACTGACGAAGAAACAAATGACAAAATGAAATGAAGTTCACATTCATCGATTTATTCCAAATGATCGTTAGACTAAGTAAGGCACAGACTGACCATTATAAGGGTAAAATGATACCCGGGGTCAAACAGCAAAGTTACCACAGCATCACAACCAGGTCAGTAACGGGTAAATCCTCCTCTGTTTGCCAAACAAGCATTGATCCGACGTGGCATACTCCTAATGAGACGTCTATGGTCATTTTGGTCCAGATTGTCCCATTCCTGTTGCAACGCAGCAGCAAATTCTTGGACATTGGCAGGACGTTGTTGACGTTGACGTAACCTCTGTCCAAGCATGTCCCAGACATGCTCGATGGGGGAGAGGTCGGGACTCAGTGCTGGCCAAGGTAATGTGGTGATGTTCTGTTGTTGGAGGTAACTTGTAACGATCCTGGCCCTGTGACATCTTGCGTTGTCATCCTGGAAGATGAAACGGCAGCCTTGACGTCGTGCGAACGGCACAACATGGACTGCCAAGATGTTGTCCCGGTAGTACTGGCCTGTAACACGCCCTGCAACAACATGTAAAGCCGTTCTTCCAGCAACAGTGATGCCTCCCCACACCATAACAGAACCACCCCCAAATCGATCATGTCTGATGACGTTAACGTCTTGGAAGCGCTCGTTTCGACGACGCCACACCCTCCTACGTCTGTCCAAAAAATCAACAGTGAACCTTGACTCATCTGAAAACATCACATTGCTCCAGCGTCGATTATCCCAGTGTTGACGATCCCTACACCAACGACGTCTTGCCTGAATGTGATGATCTCTCAAACAAGGGATCACGCGAGGACGTCGGGCGCGAAGGTGACCCCTATGCAGTCGATTCCGAATCGTCTGGCCACTCACTCTCACACCAGTGTCTGTTTGAAGACGAGCGCTGATCTGATTTGCTGTGATGACATGATTTCTCAAGGCCAAGGTACAGATAAATCGATCCTGGGCTCGAGTTGTCGCCTTTGGTCGACCTCAGCGTGGTCTGTCCTGTACAGATTGTGTATCACGGTATCTGAACCATAGCCTGCTTATGACAGACTGAGAAACATTCATCGTCCGCGCCACAACCGCCTGTGTTGTGCCGATCTGTAGCATGCCAAGGGCACGTAACCTTTCATTTTGGGTAAGCCGACGCATATCAAAATTTGTTTTCTGGTCACTAAAACAATTAAACTGCCACAATGCCACAATGACTGTAACATTCAAAGTCAGAGTCGTGCAAATCTTGGGTTGGACCCCCATGATGATCCCAAGCATCACCTGCATTCCATGCGGTAGCTATTGGTGCGTTTGGGCGTCACATGTAACTGGAAATGTTTCTTCTGTTAGGTTCTATAGTGACTTTTTTCGTAGTCATTTGCATATTTTAGTATTATGCCCCCAAAATCAAATATCCCCTACACGTGCTAACCATTCGCCCCCCCCCCCCCCCCTCCGGCTACTTAGTAGTAGTAGGCCTATACTTCGAGGATTAGTTTCAAAGTTGTTAACTACTTTTGAAATTCGACCTCAGGGAGACCAAGTGTTTTAAAAACATTACATAAGCCTTTAGAGGGAGAATAGGCCTTGCGCACTAGTAGGCCGAATGGTGTCATTAAGGTCAATGAGTTGAATGACTTCAAACGTCATTATGTATGTAGGCCTAGTTCTAGTTAGACTGGATAAACTAGTCTAAATGACGCTAGGCTTCTATAGTCTATTAATTATACATTTCTATTGACTTGAATATGTATAAACACATATGTCCAAGTCCATAGACGTCATGGGTGGAAAAATTGTGTTTCACGTGTTGATGTCTGTTTACCTTTTTCCTTTCGGAAGGGGAGATAACTACAAACTCGTTTCTTGTCGCTCGAGTTATGCCACACAGGATACTCGAGACACTATAGCAACAATGGGCCACGAGGTATTTCTGGTCACTCGAGTCGAATGATAGCTGTCGTAGGCTGATTTTATACTGAGTCTGGATAATCAAGACACTATTACGACGATGGGCCACGTGCAGAATTCTTTTTTTGATTTTTTCTATTTGACTTATTTTTTTTTTTAATTAAAACGTTATTTTTTTTTATAGATTTTTTTAATCTGAAATATTTTATGAATTTCTTTTATATAGATTTTTTTTATTTTAAAAAGATTTTTTTTTTTCTTAAATTTTAAAAAGATTTTTTTTTCTTTTTAATTTAAAAAGATTTTTTTTTTCTTTTTAATTTAAAAAGATTTTTTTTTTCTTAAATAACCCCAAAAACGCTATTGCGACCATGGGCCACCATCGTCTTGAATGACCAACCACCCCCCCCCCCCAATATTAACTCAGCGGTGTCACTAATCACGAACATGTGTATGGAATTGGATTCAATTACCCCGAAAACGTATATTTTGATACTTTGATAAATTAGTGGAAATTAAAATTTACAAGGCAAAACCAGCAGCCATTATGGATTGTGGCCAATTTGACCCATTTGGACACGGATAAATCGTAGTCGGCATTTCTATACACCAGCCATGTAATAAAATAATACATTAACTTACACCCACCATAAAGATATCGTCCACGATAACAGCTCTGTTTATTCTGTGATAGAAGATAAGTTCAAGCACATTATAACAAAAATTGGAGAATCACGGCATTAATAATTTTCTTGGGTCCTTGCACAGGCACTTGAAGGGATTAAAATATTTAACCCATTCAAGTGCCTGTGGGTCCTTGTTGACTATCACTATTTTCGGTCTTTCATCTGAAGCCAGATTGAAAATATAATTTGTATGATATAACCATTCGGTTATAGCAATTAAAGATTTGACCACAGCTTTCTGAACTTCCTTTATCTTGCAGTCCGCTGATCGACATTCATCGCTGACTGATCCCCCATCATCCTGTACTCATTTCGATATTCTAACAATATATAGACTATAGATAACCATGGTAACTACAAGAATCAACCTATATACAGATAACCATGGTAACTACTAGAATCAACCTATACATAGATAACCATGGTAACTACTAGAATCAACCTATATATAGATAACCATGGTAACTACTAGAATCAACCTATATATAGATAACCATGGTAACTACTAGAATCAACCTATATATAGATAACCATGGTAACTACTAGAATCAACTTACATATAGATCACCATGGTAACTACTAGAATCAACCTATACATAGATAACCATGGTAACTACTAGAATCAACTTACATATAGATCACCATGGTAACTACTAGAATCAACCTATATATAGATCACCATGGTAACTACTAGAATCAACTTGCATATAAATCACCATGGTAACTACTAGAATCAACCTATACATAGATAACCATGGTAACTACTAGAATCAACTTACATATAGATCACCATGGTAACTACTAGAATCAACCTGTATATAGATTACCATGGTAACTACTAGAATCAACCTATACATAGATAACCATGGTAACTACTAGAATCAACTTACATATAGATCACCATGGTAACTACTAGAATCAACTTACATATAGATCACCATGGTAACTACTAGAATCAACTTATATACAGATAACCATGGTAACTACTACATTAAACTTGTTCAAGCATTACCTTTAGTGATGTCATAAATGATACAAGACCTATTAGTACAATATTTTTTAATAAATTGATAAAATTTCAACTCTAAACATTCTTGCCTCAAAATCCTGATCTATAAATCATCATCATTTGTAGTATAGAAGCAAAAGCATGTTGAAAGATACTTACCCATTTAGGCCATGTTTGGAGGACGAAATCTGGGGAAAACTCTAATACAGTATTACCCATTTTAATCCTTTCTGCAGACGACATTATAGCAGGCTAAAATGGAAAAGGCTTCATTATATGTCGGACCATTTTTATCACGTGTAAAGGGATGTGTTATCGATCGCAGTTTACAGATTCACGATCTATCCAATACCTCCATCATCAGACAAATCTACACGACAACCGATATAATAATTTATACAAATAATAAAATAATATATACAATTAATAAAATGATATATACAAATAATAAAATAATATATACAAATAATAAAATAATATATACAAATAATAAAATGATACATACAAATAATAAAATGATACAAATAATAAAATGATACATACAAATAATAAAATGATATATACAAATAATAAGAATTTCTCCCCGCAATGACCTCAAATGCCAGGATATTGAATTAATTTTTCAAAATTTTCTCAAATTACTCAGTGTTATAGGCACAATCATTAATATGCCATAAACTATACGTGAACTAAAATAACAACTATATAATTATACAATACTATCTATGTTCTACCGGGACGCTTAATGTTCTAGCCAGTATTTTGTTTACATTCATTCTCAATCAGTGCCATTCTCAAAGATGTATAAAGTCCATAGTACTATTTGTTACAGATTTAACGTCCAATACATTATATACTATTCAAAAAAAGTAGGGGATATTTGATTTTTAAGTGTTATTAAAGTCACCTAATGAAACTGACGAAGAAACAAATGACAAAATGAAATGAAGTTCACATTCATCGATTTATTCCAAATGATCGTTAGACTAAGTAAGGCACAGACTGACCATTATAAGGGTAAAATGATACCCGGGGTCAAACAGCAAAGTTACCACAGCATCACAACCAGGTCAGTAACGGGTAAATCCTCCTCTGTTTGCCAAACAAGCATTGATCCGACGTGGCATACTCCTAATGAGACGTCTATGGTCATTTTGGTCCAGATTGTCCCATTCCTGTTGCAACGCAGCAGCAAATTCTTGGACATTGGCAGGACGTTGTTGACGTTGACGTAACCTCTGTCCAAGCATGTCCCAGACATGCTCGATGGGGGAGAGGTCGGGACTCAGTGCTGGCCAAGGTAATGTGGTGATGTTCTGTTGTTGGAGGTAACTTGTAACGATCCTGGCCCTGTGACATCTTGCGTTGTCATCCTGGAAGATGAAACGGCAGCCTTGACGTCGTGCGAACGGCACAACATGGACTGCCAAGATGTTGTCCCGGTAGTACTGGCCTGTAACACGCCCTGCAACAACATGTAAAGCCGTTCTTCCAGCAACAGTGATGCCTCCCCACACCATAACAGAACCACCCCCAAATCGATCATGTCTGATGACGTTAACGTCTTGGAAGCGCTCGTTTCGACGACGCCACACCCTCCTACGTCTGTCCAAAAAATCAACAGTGAACCTTGACTCATCTGAAAACATCACATTGCTCCAGCGTCGATTATCCCAGTGTTGACGATCCCTACACCAACGACGTCTTGCCTGAATGTGATGATCTCTCAAACAAGGGATCACGCGAGGACGTCGGGCGCGAAGGTGACCCCTATGCAGTCGATTCCGAATCGTCTGGCCACTCACTCTCACACCAGTGTCTGTTTGAAGACGAGCGCTGATCTGATTTGCTGTGATGACATGATTTCTCAAGGCCAAGGTACAGATAAATCGATCCTGGGCTCGAGTTGTCGCCTTTGGTCGACCTCAGCGTGGTCTGTCCTGTACAGATTGTGTATCACGGTATCTGAACCATAGCCTGCTTATGACAGACTGAGAAACATTCATCGTCCGCGCCACAACCGCCTGTGTTGTGCCGATCTGTAGCATGCCAAGGGCACGTAACCTTTCATTTTGGGTAAGCCGACGCATATCAAAATTTGTTTTCTGGTCACTAAAACAATTAAACTGCCACAATGCCACAATGACTGTAACATTCAAAGTCAGAGTCGTGCAAATCTTGGGTTGGACCCCCATGATGATCCCAAGCATCACCTGCATTCCATGCGGTAGCTATTGGTGCGTTTGGGCGTCACATGTAACTGGAAATGTTTCTTCTGTTAGGTTCTATAGTGACTTTTTTCGTAGTCATTTGCATATTTTAGTATTATGCCCCCAAAATCAAATATCCCCTACACGTGCTAACCATTCGCCCCCCCCCCCCCCCCCCTCCGGCTACTTAGTAGTAGTAGGCCTATACTTCGAGGATTAGTTTCAAAGTTGTTAACTACTTTTGAAATTCGACCTCAGGGAGACCAAGTGTTTTAAAAACATTACATAAGCCTTTAGAGGGAGAATAGGCCTTGCGCACTAGTAGGCCGAATGGTGTCATTAAGGTCAATGAGTTGAATGACTTCAAACGTCATTATGTATGTAGGCCTAGTTCTAGTTAGACTGGATAAACTAGTCTAAATGACGCTAGGCTTCTATAGTCTATTAATTATACATTTCTATTGACTTGAATATGTATAAACACATATGTCCAAGTCCATAGACGTCATGGGTGGAAAAATTGTGTTTCACGTGTTGATGTCTGTTTACCTTTTTCCTTTCGGAAGGGGAGATAACTACAAACTCGTTTCTTGTCGCTCGAGTTATGCCACACAGGATACTCGAGACACTATAGCAACAATGGGCCACGAGGTATTTCTGGTCACTCGAGTCGAATGATAGCTGTCGTAGGCTGATTTTATACTGAGTCTGGATAATCAAGACACTATTACGACGATGGGCCACGTGCAGAATTCTTTTTTTGATTTTTTCTATTTGACTTATTTTTTTTTTTAATTAAAACGTTATTTTTTTTTATAGATTTTTTTAATCTGAAATATTTTATGAATTTCTTTTATATAGATTTTTTTTATTTTAAAAAGATTTTTTTTTTTCTTAAATTTTAAAAAGATTTTTTTTTCTTTTTAATTTAAAAAGATTTTTTTTTTCTTTTTAATTTAAAAAGATTTTTTTTTTCTTAAATAACCCCAAAAACGCTATTGCGACCATGGGCCACCATCGTCTTGAATGACCAACCACCCCCCCCCCCCAATATTAACTCAGCGGTGTCACTAATCACGAACATGTGTATGGAATTGGATTCAATTACCCCGAAAACGTATATTTTGATACTTTGATAAATTAGTGGAAATTAAAATTTACAAGGCAAAACCAGCAGCCATTATGGATTGTGGCCAATTTGACCCATTTGGACACGGATAAATCGTAGTCGGCATTTCTATACACCAGCCATGTAATAAAATAATACATTAACTTACACCCACCATAAAGATATCGTCCACGATAACAGCTCTGTTTATTCTGTGATAGAAGATAAGTTCAAGCACATTATAACAAAAATTGGAGAATCACGGCATTAATAATTTTCTTGGGTCCTTGCACAGGCACTTGAAGGGATTAAAATATTTAACCCATTCAAGTGCCTGTGGGTCCTTGTTGACTATCACTATTTTCGGTCTTTCATCTGAAGCCAGATTGAAAATATAATTTGTATGATATAACCATTCGGTTATAGCAATTAAAGATTTGACCACAGCTTTCTGAACTTCCTTTATCTTGCAGTCCGCTGATCGACATTCATCGCTGACTGATCCCCCATCATCCTGTACTCATTTCGATATTCTAACAATATATAGACTATAGATAACCATGGTAACTACAAGAATCAACCTATATACAGATAACCATGGTAACTACTAGAATCAACCTATACATAGATAACCATGGTAACTACTAGAATCAACCTATATATAGATAACCATGGTAACTACTAGAATCAACCTATATATAGATAACCATGGTAACTACTAGAATCAACCTATATATAGATAACCATGGTAACTACTAGAATCAACTTACATATAGATCACCATGGTAACTACTAGAATCAACCTATACATAGATAACCATGGTAACTACTAGAATCAACTTACATATAGATCACCATGGTAACTACTAGAATCAACCTATATATAGATCACCATGGTAACTACTAGAATCAACTTGCATATAAATCACCATGGTAACTACTAGAATCAACCTATACATAGATAACCATGGTAACTACTAGAATCAACTTACATATAGATCACCATGGTAACTACTAGAATCAACCTGTATATAGATCACCATGGTAACTACTAGAATCAACCTATACATAGATAACCATGGTAACTACTAGAATCAACTTACATATAGATCACCATGGTAACTACTAGAATCAACTTATATACAGATAACCATGGTAACTACTACGTTAAACTTGTTCAAGCATTACCTTTAGTGATGTCATAAATGATACAAGACCTATTAGTACAATATTTTTTAATAAATTGATAAAATTTCAACTCTAAACATTCTTGCCTCAAAATCCTGATCTATAAATCATCATCATTTGTAGTATAGAAGCAAAAGCATGTTGAAAGATACTTACCCATTCAGGCCTTGTTTGGAGGACGAAATCTGGGGAAAACTCTAATACAGTATTACCCATTTTAATCCTTTCTGCAGACGACATTATAGCAGGCTAAAATGGAAAAGGCTTCATTATATGTCGGACCATTTTTATCACGTGTAAAGGGATGTGTTATCGATCGCAGTTTACAGATTCACGATCTATCCAATACCTCCATCATCAGACAAATCTACACGACAACCGATATAATAATTTATACAAATAATAAAATAATATATACAATTAATAAAATGATATATACAAATAATAAAATAATATATACAAATAATAAAATAATATATACAAATAATAAAATGATACATACAAATAATAAAATGATATATACAAATAATAAGAATTTCTCCCCGCAATGACCTCAAATGCCAGGATATTGAATTAATTTTTCAAAATTTTCTCAAATTACTCAGTGTTATAGGCACAATCATTAATATGCCATAAACTATACGTGAACTAAAATAACAACTATATAATTATACAATACTATCTATGTTCTACCGGGACGCTTAATGTTATAGCCAGTATTTTGTTTACATTCATTGTGAGGTGGGATTGTGGATGGCGCCCTAAATTTGAAACCGTCCCTACCCCACCCCAATATTCCCTAGAAAACTGGCATGTGGTGCTCGGCTCCTGATTGCTTCACTCGCATTGACGGGGAGGGGGGGTGGGGGGAGGGGGGTGGGGGTATTATGTGCATCAGTCGGTCGCATTTTGGCTAAATACCCCCCCCCCCCCCCCAAACGAAATCGTTATGTACGCCCCTCCCCCTTCCTTCTGGTCAGGCTTATGTAGCTTATATAGCTTTGGTAAGACTTCACCAACAACCATCATGGTTTCCACAAGGCAGATCAAAAGATAAACCAATGTTTTTAAAACCCGATTTGTAACCGGAACCCACCTTATCTAGAACGATGTCAGGTAAATTTGGTAAGCCTTTTGGTTTAGAAACACAGTTGCTACTAAATTGTAGCAAGAAATTTCTGTCGTAGATTATTCTACCCTCCTGATTTAGAGGACTCCTTTGGTCTGTCAAAAGAAAAACATAACATAACATAAAGTTTCAATTCCTCGAGGTATTCCCACGACGGCGCAGTTACAGACCCTGACCAATATTTATCCTTCCTACGAATGCGCAGATGTCGACTTGTCGGCTTTCGTTTGAAGGGAGACATGTTGTTATTAGGACCCAATTAACCGTGTTAAAGATGTTATGAATTTATGTTCACTCTGATTTTTATTCACACATTGACAACTAATGATAAATATCATCAAATCATCAAATTAGTCTTCATATATTCGCTCATTCTCAATCAGTGCCATTCTCAAAGATGTATCAAGTCCATAGTACTATTTGTTACAGATTTAACGTCCAATACATTATATACTATTCAAAAAAAGTAGGGGATATTTGATTTTTAAGTGTTATTAAAGTCACCTAATGAAACTGACGAAGAAACAAAGGACAAAATGAAATGAAGTTCACATTCATCGATTTATTCCAAATGATCGTTAGACTAAGTAAGGCACAGACTGACCATTATAATGGTAAAATGATACCCGGGGTCAAACAGCAAAGTTACCACAGCATCACAACCAAGTCAGTAACGGGTAAATCCTCCTCTGTTTGCCAAACAAGCATTGATCCGACGTGGCATACTCCTAATGAACGTCTATGGTCATTTTGGTCCAGATTGTCCCATTCCTGTTGCAACGCAGCAGCAAGTTCTTGGACATTGGCAGGACGTTGTTGACGTTGACGTAACCTCTGTCCAAGCATGTCCCAGACATGCTCGATGGGGGAGAGGTCGGGACTCAGTGCTGGCCAAGGTAATGTGGTGATGTTCTGTTGTTGGAGGTAACCTGTAACGATCCTGGCCCTGTGACATCTTGCGTTGTCATCCTGGAAGATGAAACGGCGGCCATGACGTCGTGCGAACGGCACAACATGGACTGCCAAGATGTTGTCCCGGTAGTACTGGCCTGTAACACGCCCTGCAACAACATGTAAAGCAGTCGAATCGTCTGGCCACTCACTCTCACACCAGTGTCTGTTTGAAGACGAGCGCTGATCTGATTTGCTGTGATGACACGATTTCTCAAGGCCAAGGTACGGATAAATCGATCCTGGGCTTGAGTTGTCGCCCTTGGTCGACCTGAGCGTGGTCTGTCCTGTACAGATTGTGTATCACGGTATCTGGACCAGAGCCTGCTTATGACAGACTGAGAAACATTCATCGTCCGCGCCACAACCGCCTGTGTTGTGCCGATCTGTAGCATGCCAAGGGCACGTAACCTTTCATTTTGGGTAAGCCGACGCATATCAAAATTTGTTTTCTGATCACTAAAACAATTAAACTGATGTTTCCACCCTGGAATTCAATGCCACAATGACTGTAACATTCAAAGTCAGAGTCGTGCAAATCTTGGGTTGGACCCCCATGATGATCCCAAGCATCACCTGCATTCCATGCGGTAGCTATTGGTGCGTTTGGGCGTCACATGTAACTGGAAATGTTTCTTCTGTTAGGTTCTATAGTGACTTTTTTCGTAGTCATTTGCATATTTTAGTATTATGCCCCCAAAATCAAATATCCCCTACTTTTTTTGAATAGTATATATGATGTTATGGACAGGTTGATTAAATTAAATTATTTACACTTCACCAACTTTAAACCCATGAAGTGTAAATAATTTAATTTAATCAACCTGTCCATAATATCATATAAAATGTATTGGACGTTAAATCTGTAATAAACAACAACAACAACAACCGATATTGTCTTCGATATCACCCCTGGTGGAAGTGGACGTTCAACTCCAGAAAGGAACGAATTCGAAATTCAGATAATATTCTACAATGGCAAACGTACAACGTGAATTCAGCTTTCTAACAACTATGTAACAATCAAGTGGTTCGAGGGTGAATATGACACTCATCAGTGGAACCACTACGACACAGAGGAACACAAAACAAACAGCACTCTGGACGGATGGCAGTCAAGGATCACGAAACTAGTTGGGAAAGTTCATCCGAATGTTTTTTCAAATGATCGCATTTTTACAAAAAGAGCAAAATATTTAAACTTACTTTTTTGCCTGACATCAACAGTATGATTTCCGTCAACTTTATTCACACTATCTGCCCTCATCGGACGTTTGCAATAATTACTGAATTTCGTTTTTAATTCATGTAATGTATAAAACGAATCATAAATATGCATATTTTCTTGTCCAATACATTGACGTAAAAGTGGACACTTGACAGTATCGTCCATAAACTCTAGTCCACTATCCACCAGATACCGGTCAAACTCCTGCTCAAATTGTTCCCATTTTTCTCTTGAACCATCTTGATCCAGTCGTGATAAACTTGGTGGCTTTAAGGGAGGTCTGTCTTCCATGTTTCTAGGTTTAAAGGGAGGCCTACGTTCCATTTCTCTAGGTTTTCTATAAACTTCTCTTGGCTACAAATATAGGTTTGGGGGTTACTATAAAAACATCTAGTCTGACAACATGAACCCACCAACAGCTAAATTGTCCGAGCAGTTATGAGTTACACTAGCAATAGCATGCCGTTGCCATGCATGACAGCGAATTTGAACAAAATTCCTATGACCCCGATGCTTCAAACCAGGTTTGAACAAGTGGTTGCCATGCAAGATAAGCCCACATTATTTTTGTAAAATAAGTGACAAATAATCCTGGATGTTACAAACGGTCCGACATGCGTAAATATCAAAAGGAGCCGAGATCTTTGGGATATAATCCTATATTTCAAGTTTCATCACAATGATATCTAGAAGCATGGTTTAACTATTCACAACAAAACACAACACAATGGATATATGGATATTACTAGTTCTCTACTATTTAACACTTGCAGGTCACGTTTTCAAATTAATATCTACCTAGCCGTTAGCCCACTTTCCAACCATAGGCTTTTTATATATGTCGTTGAATTTCTCTTCCACCATTTGCCTGTACTATTCTTAATTAATTTATTAACATACAAAGCACACAATGAACTATCTGTGCCATCGGACCATGTCAGACAGAAAGGCCCATGGTGCTACACAACTCTCTGTGTCATCGGATGGCTCTGATATGTTAAGTAGATAAGAATAATAGAGACTTTTGGCAAGGGGAATTTTTCCCATCCGTATCGTCACGTGATACGTTGCGTCAATGTAGTTTTGGCAGATTTTCGTGCGGCGTACGTATGAGTAGCTGAGCTTAGTTCTGTGACAGCATGATGGCAGTTATCTACCAAGATATTCACCATCAGTACTAGTCAAGTGTCTAGCCTATAAATTACTGGAGGGAGTGGTGTCGCTCGACAGTCACTGAGTTATTAAAAGAAATAATGTCGAATCTTATTAAAAATCTTTGACTTCGACTCGACAGCAATATTTGGTTTCACTAATGCATCATTTCCGAAAGGTTATACCCCTTTACCATAGAATCACATTATTTACAGATTTTGAAGGTCCCACCTCTCTAAATTTAGCACGTAGATCAACCAGCATGCAGACAGATAAACAGACAGATAAAATATGAAAATTCTGAGAAAAGCGCATCAAAAGTATTGATTAAATTCCAGTCTTTATCACGGTTAAAATCACATCTTATATATACCTTGGTGTTCTGGGATACACATAGATTCATTAAAACGCCATGATACAACATTTCAGCGTGTAAAAGTAGTAAAAAAGACGGTTAAAAGACGACAATGTTATACGGAACTTTTCCGTATGAAAGCTGTTCAATACGTACTGCCGTATCCGTGTGCCGTATCACGTATGAGAAATACACACACATTGATGACGTCACACGCAAAGTCGATACGGATACGCGATACGGACAAGAAATTTACGCTTGCCAAAAGTCTCTAATGTTAATCATTAACGGGCGTTGACCAGCAGATCGGATTCAAATCCAATGAAAACGGACACATACGATGACCTCGAAAGTTTATTATGATCTTTCCATGTTAATAAAAAAATGTCTAATTAATGGTCTATATAACATTTCAGGCCTAAAGAAAGACCTGCAACATTTCAGGCCTAAAGAAAGGCCTCCAACATTTCAGACCTAAAGAAAGACCTCCAATAGACAGATTCAGCTCTTGCATACTGCATGTTTAGCTGGAGACCATTACACACCTTAAAATACAGAGACTAACTCGCACTGAAATACGTCACGCGAGTCCACTATTTCATGTAGTATATATACTGTCACTGCTGGGTGCATAGTGTGTAGAACCTAGCTCTAAGTATTGACTAACTGGCCTATGTGTTAGAATATCTATATATGAAGTAGAAAGGGTTCATTGTGGTTACAATTCATGGAAATTCGTGAGAAATATACGTGTTGTCAGTAGTCGCTGAAACCCGTCAGTAAGTGTACCGTACGTCAGTATTCCTCTAAATGGTCAGTAATAATCATAAGGTGAGTATTTAAGTCAATTGGTTAGTATTCCTTACTTGCGTCAGTATGTAAAAATAACGTGAGTAATTAAACAAACGTGAGTTAAGCCGATCATATCACTAGTCAGGCGCGTGCGGGAGAAATTGACGAAAGCGTGACTAATTAAGAAACCGTCACTATTTGAGGTCTACGTCACTATCAGAGTGAAACCGCCAGTTATCTTTGATGTGCGTCAGTAACTGGACCCGACGCCAGTAGAGCGTGAAATCGTTAACTATATAAATTTCTGGCAAGTATTGTTAGTGAGTATCGTCGCTACATTCTGAATAAATTATTAATTAATTATTTACTAATATTCTCGAATCGGGAAATGTTTTTAAACAATAATGGATGGCAGCCAACACTAGGAGTATTTGTCGGCGATTTCGATTACCGCCGTAGTCTGCAGAATGCGGAGCAATGTGAGGTGTTATTTAATTTACAATTTATATTTATTCTCGTTATATCACATGCGGATTGGCACATGTTCTGGGACTTGCGGCACTTTGATATCTGTATGGATTAAATTTGGAATCTCTGTATGGATTAAATTTGGAATCACAACTAATGGTTAAAAAAAAGATCAACACAAATCTGTTTTCACTAATTCTATTGAAACAGATAATATGATAGCAGATAACAGAAATAATGAATTTCATATACATACATACAAGCTGAAATTCTGAGCACCGAAGAATCATGTGAATATCTATTTACATTTGAGAAATAATTTGATAGTAAATAACAGAAATAATGAATTTCATACGCAAACCAATGCATACATACAAGCTGAAATTCTGATCACTGAACAATCATGTGAATATCTATATACATGTACATTATTATTGGTATTTTCAAATTTGCAACATATTACAAACCCATTCCTGATAAAAAAAAACTAAAAAAACATATAATTCAAACGTCAACCCGACCATTTCAAGAATTGTCTGTGTGAAGGCGACTGCAGCTCGGTTGCTTCATTTAAAAAGATAACTGATATTAAACTATACAATTGACTGAGCTATTCAGGGTTCATATTGGAAATATTTTGGTGTCAAGGCAACTGGAGTTCGGTTGCTTTATTTAAAAAGATAACTAATATTAAACTATAAAATTGACTGAGCTATATCCGTTTGAGGTTGTTTGAGGAAAAACAAGTTAAAGATATTGTTATGTTCTAAAAGAAAATCACATAACAACCACGCCATATATTTGTTAATTTTTGTTTGATATTTCTCTCGGTGTTATAATTTAGAACGAAAGAGAATAGTCCATACATTAGTAATGTAGGTCTTGTATATTGAACTTTTATGGGAATAAATTCTGTTAATCTCACCACTTAATTAGCACCTTGGTGTTATATACTATTCAAAAAAAGTAGGGGATATTTGATTTTGGGGGCATAATACTAAAATATGGAAATGACTACGAAAAAAGTCACTATAGAACCTAACAGAAGAAACATTTCCAGTTACATGTGACCCCCAAACGCACCGATAGCTACCGCATGGAATGCAGGTGATGCTTGGGATCATCATGGGGGTCCAACCCAAGATTTGCACGACTCTGACTTTGAATGTTACAGTCATTGTGGCATTGAATTCCAGGGTGGAAACATCAGTTTAATTGTTTTAGTGACCAGAAAACAATTTTGATATGCGTCGGCTTACCCAAAATGAAAGGTTACGTGCCCTTAGCATGCAACAGATCGGCACAACACAGGCGGTTGTGGCGCGGACGATGAATGTTTCTCAGTCTGTCATAAGCAGGCTATGGTCCAGATACCGTGATACACAATCTGTACAGGACAGACCACGCTCAGGTCGACCAAGGGCGACAACTCAAGCCCAGGATCGATTTATCCGTACCTTGGCCTTGAGAAATCGTGTCATCACAGCAAATCAGATCAGCGCTCGTCTTCAAACAGACACTGGTGTGAGAGTGAGTGGCCAGACGATTCGGAATCGACTGCATAGGGGTCACCTTCGCGCCCGACGTCCTCGCGTGATCCCTTGTTTGAGAGATCATCACATTCAGGCAAGACGTCGTTGGTGTAGGGATCGTCAACACTGGGATAATCGACGCTGGAGCAATGTGATGTTTTCAGATGAGTCAAGGTTCACTGTTGATTTTTTGGACAGACGTAGGAGGGTGTGGCGTTGTCGAAACGAGCGCTTCCAAGACGTTAACGTCATCAGACATGATCGATTTGGGGGTGGTTCTGTTATGGTGTGGGGAGGCATCACTGTTGCTGGAAGAACGGCTTTACATGTTGTTGCAGGGCGTGTTACAGGCCAGTACTACCGGGACAACATCTTGGCAGTCCATGTTGTGCCGTTCGCACGACGTCATGGCCGCCGTTTCATCTTCCAGGATGACAACGCAAGATGTCACAGGGCCAGGATCGTTACAGGTTACCTCCAACAACAGAACATCACCACATTACCTTGGCCAGCACTGAGTCCCGACCTCTCCCCCATCGAGCATGTCTGGGACATGCTTGGACAGAGGTTACGTCAACGTCAACAACGTCCTGTCAATGTCCAAGAACTTGCTGCTGCGTTGCAACAGGAATGGGACAATCTGGACCAAAATGACCTTAGACGTCTCATTAGGAGTATGCCACGTCGGATCAATGCTTGTTTGGCAAACAGAGGAGGATTTACCCGTTACTGACTTGGTTGTGATGCTGTGGTAACTTTGCTGTTTGACCCCGGGTATCATTTTACCCTTATAATGGTCAGTCTGTGCCTTACTTAGTCTAACGATCATTTGGAATAAATCGATGAATGTGAACTTCATTTCATTTTGTCATTTGTTTCTTCGTCAGTTTCATTAGGTGACTTTAATAACACTTAAAAATCAAATATCCCCTACTTTTTTTGAATAGTATATTAGGAGATGAAGAATGTTGATTGGGTAATCGAGTTTAGCCTCTTGATTATGTTTTGATATCTGTATGAATTCAATTTGGAATGACACCTAATGGTTAAGAAAG